TAATTTAGAATAATTGGGTTCGGAATGTCGTGAGGGTGAGTAAATGATGACAGAATTTCCATTTTTGAGTGAATTATCCCTTAAATATGAAATTATTTTCAGTAAAATCACCCATTAAGTGGTAAATAATATTGAATGGATATTATGCTTATATGGGCTAGAATGAAGTGTGAGATTACATAGCATCTTTATCGGCTGTATTTCAGTTAAATTATGCAGTAACTATTAAAACATAGTAATAAATAGTAATAAATGTAATTAAGATCATAAAATCCTGGTTATTGCTGTCATTTAATGTATGTGTTCTTACTGATGTTCATTTGGGAATGAGGGCAACAGTGTAATCAAAGCAGGCACTTTATCTTTATTTAAAGATTTGAAAAAGGAAAAATAATTGGTATCAAATTAATTTGGGTTTATTTGCATTTATTCTTGTAGATAAAACACTTTCAGAATCTCCACAGTGGAAGAAAAACCAGTTGTTGCTCCTGGAGTCTCCAGCTCATACAGCTCTCCTGACCATGAGGAGGATGGGAAGCATCGCTTAACGAATGTGACAAAATTAACGCCTTAATGTAAATAATGTCCTGTTACAGTGCAGTTAAAACCAGACAGCTCTACCCTTGGGCTCATATGACCTGAGAGATGCACAGAGCTTTACATTCAGAGCTGAATCACACGTAACTTAAGAGAACTGAGGAAACAAACAACTATTTAGCATGATTCATCAGTTCAAAATTCTCTTAAAAGCACACAAATGTTCATACATACATTGTCAAATGCTCTATAGAGTTGAGAAAGCTCCTTATTTTCTGTTGTAGTTTTTCTCTCTGCAGTTGTTTCAGTCTTTCTTTATACCGTCGATAATACTCTTCCTGATACATCAGCTCTTTCTGAGAGATGCTGTCGATCAACGCCAGGTCTTTCAGCTGTAGAATGGAAAGCTGACCGTTTTCTGAAGCTTTGAATTTCTCTGTGACTATCATAGATGAAGAAGAATCAACTTGCTTGACAGAGAATGATGCAGATTTAGCAAACCTCTGTTCTCTGTCATCCTTACACGCTTTCACCGAGGATAGAGGTCTGAAAGCTGGAGCGGATTTTGAAAATCGTGTCTCGTGTGCATCGTTTGTCATCCTGACCTCTGATATGGCCCTCATTGTTTTGTTTATGGTTGCGTGCGGTTCGCAAACCCTTAAATTAAGCAGCCGTTTGTGCTCTTTTAGCACTAGCTCTCGCTCCTGCTCCAGCAGCCTGAGGTTGAGTCTGTATTTGGCGCTGATGTTGTGTAGTTTCCACTGAAGACGGACGTCCTCTTTGTGGTTCAGCAGTCTTACGTCCATGTAATGGCAAGACTTGGGTCTCTTAATGCTTAGCTCTTTTGACATTTTGAGATGTTCCCTTGCAACAAATAAATGGAACAGACAACCACTTTTTGGTTAAGCACACAGATGTAGATCGTTCCAAGCTCAATTTATTTTAAAAACACAGTTTGTTAGTTCATATACACACATACAGTGGAGACCAAAAGTCTCAGAAGCTTCAGACATTTGGACCCCAATGAATGTTTCAAGGCTAAGTTATTTTACACAAATATGTACATTGTGTATACATAATAAATGTAAATTTACTGTACCTGAAACTGCTGCGTATGGTTTGTCGTCTTGTATGAGCATGTAGATTAAGAATCTGCTGCTATGACACTTAAACATATAAACAATGTCTTTCATTCTGTCAGCTTTCAGGGTTTTGAATTTCAAAGTAATTTGGTCACATGATCGCTATTGTGTCTATAATAACAAAGTAAAGATGGAAGGTTGAACTCTTCAGAATTTTTAATAGCTCACAACTCCTTTGCATTTCCATTTTTATGAAAATATATTATAGCAAAATTTCACAGTTTGGTGTCTCCGAGTAAGATTCTCTAATCTCTGCATGTACTACAGCTGTACACGTCAGTTGTTTGTAAGTGTTTTATTGTATTTTTATTTATTTTATTGTATTTTCCCCCAGTGTGTTTCTTGTCTGCATTTGCAGTGACAGGGATGAAATTATTATTTTTATTGTTACAAATCAGTATTATATAATATCCTCTAGCCAAGCAATTTGGAGACTGGATGGATATAGTTAAATAGAATATTATATGGTATTAAATAATGTTTTTACAATTAGTTCACCCTATAATTTAGCTGTTTTCGAGATCCCAACAGATTATGAAGATCATGTCAAGCTGGACATTATTTGTGTATTTTTTGAGTAAATTTAACCCTATGCTCCATATAACTAGTTTTCACTAAAATCACAGTAGTTACTGCAGTTATCTCTGCTGTAGGAGTATTACAACTACAAAACCGTAAATTAATAGGATCTTCTTCAAACTAAGAAGTTTCAGAATGTTTTGTTCTTTTTAGAATGTGGTTGTACTATGCTAATTATGTTTTTTTTTTTTATGATTACCATGGTATTTTTGGGGGAGGTACTACTGCATTATTTCCATTGTTTAATTTCACCGCAATTTAGACATGCGAACGACCAACGGCCAGTAAACAACATTCACAACATCAAAACTTCGAGTGATTTGTTGAGGTGAGGTTAATTTAAAATTACTCTAATTTGAGTTCGTTGCTGTTTTCTCTAGCAGGAAGTGTTAAATGTTTGACACAAAAACATGAAAGTGGCCTATTTTAATTATAGTTTCAGTGTTCACTCTTTATCAAGCCGCAGCTCTTCCTGAGGCCTGGCTGACTGCCTACCAACTTTTGCACTTCATAGGTAACATAACATCAGTGTTTTATTATCTTTAAATGAGACTTTTTAACCAAAAATTAAAATGAGCTTTAAAGTTACTCACCCTCAGGCAATCTAAGATGTAGACGTAGACAAAATTTAGCATTACATCACTTGCTCACCAATGAATGTGAATGGGTGCCATCAGAATGAGAGTCCAAAAAGCTGATAAAAACATCACAATAATCCACAAGTAATCCACACACCACTCCAGTCCATCAATGAATGTCTTGAGAAGTGAAAAGCTGTGTGTTTGTAAGAAACAAATCCATCAAGACATTTTTGACTTCAAGCTAAAATATGAGTCCTCTATCTATAATATTACTTTCTCCATTGAAAAAGTAATCTCGTCTGAATCAGGAAAAAAATATGCAAAGACTAAGCACCGTTTACAAGTGAAAACAGTCCAAAACAAATGCTGGTGGATTTTAATGTGAGAGAACAACAGGGGATGGACTTGTTCACTGGAGGAAGCAATATTATGGATTATAGACTTGTATTTTGGACAGAGGCAATGGTTTAAAGTTAAAACATCTTAATGATGAATTTGTTTCTTACAAACACACAGCTTTTCGCTTCAGAAGATGTTAATTGATGGACTGGAGTTGTAGATTATTGTGATTTTTTTTAATTTTTTTGTTTGAACTCTCATTCTGATGGCACCCATTCACTTTCATTGGTGAGCAAGTGATGTAATGCTACATTTTTCCAAATCTATTCTGATTAAGAAACTCATCTACATCTTGGTTGGCCTGAGGGTGAGTACATTTTCAACAAACTTTCATTTTTGGGTGACCTATTCCTTTAAGTGTTCAAATGCATTTTAAGACCATTATATTTCTGTATGCTGCTGTCTTTTATAGCCAAAGTAAAGCGGAATGAGACTGTATTGATTCATGCTGGAGCGAGTGGAATCGGCACTGCTGCCATTCAGCTGGCAAGCTTTTGAGGAAGAGAGGCCATCTCCTTTGCAGTCTCCTCAGATCAAGACGTTTACAGGTTAGACTCAATAATATTAGTTGCTTCAGATTGCATTGTTTCTTCATAAATTCACCCAAAAATAAAGATTCTTCCATTATATATTCAAACCTCATGTCACTCCAAACCCTTATGCTGTTTTTTTTTTGCCTGTTTTAACTCTTTTGATGATGTATAATGTTAAATTTGAAGCATTAAATGTTATGCACTTTGCATTTATGATTGTGTTTTTATTTCTAGTATAAAGCAGAGCTGGTCTGGAGTTCCACAGAGCAGGTTTTGCCGCACTTCCAGTCAACAGATCCTCCCTTGCAGCCTGTGATGGACAGCATGTTTAACATGGAGGATGTTGAAATGGCTCATCAGCGTATGGAGGTCATATTGGAAAAATAATTCTTAAAATTGGAAACTCTTGATCATATTATTATTGAATATATGGAGTGAAATCATTGTGGTTATCACCACGTACTAAATCTATTCATGTTAAATGTTGCATAAAAAATATTTCACATAAATAAATACCTTAAAGAAGTTTATGAGAGGAAAACAATGCAACTTTAGGAAGAAAAGATGCCTTTATTTTTGGCCGTTAAGCAGTTCATATTAATGAACTTATGATAGTTGGGAAAATATCTAAATAGTCTTACAATTTGGCTAGAAATGAGGGCTATTGTTTTTTCTTTTATATTTATAATAAACATTTTACCTATAACTTGGGTTGCTTTTTTATTTATAGGGCTTCACTGTGTAAAATAGTATATGACCTCTAAATAAAAGTAGCTGACATGACATTTCAGAAGTGTAAATCTAAAACTATTTTAAGTAGCGTTTTTATAAATCGTTGATTACTATTATTCATATTATTATTATTCAATTATTATTGATACTTTCTAAAAAAAAATTGCTCAAGTTGTTTGAAACGTCCAGTTATTGAAACGTTTTTTTATTGGTTATGATTTAACATTAAGGAAACATTCAATTTTATAATTTTGCAAATATTCTGGCAACGTTACTTTTATGTTCATTAAACATGTAAAAAAAAAGTGTTTAATAGAAAAACGTTTAATGAATTATATATAAAGAACGTTTTTGTGCTAACATTTTGAGAACCTTATTAAAAAGCAGATAACTTTGAACGAAGGTTTTTTTTTTATTACTGGAAGAATGTTTGTTCATAACGTTGAGAGAACGTTAGCCAGTGTTCTGAGAACGTTTCAAAGCAGATGAAAGCTTTCGTGCTTGACGTAAGAGAAAGTTTATTTCCTACTTCCTGGTCTAAGCTCTGCTGAAGATCAATGGCTCCACTTCACTTTTCGCCGTTTAAACGCTGTAAATAGTAGTAGAAATGAATACACAAGTAACTTGATTAAAAATCGACTTCTTTTCATAAACGGTAAGTGATCGATTTAATTGATTATTAGTTCATGCATGTTCTCAGTCAGGTGATGAGCTCTAACAGGCCTGAGCTCAAATCAGCGCCAGACTACTGAAAATAAAAATATAAAATGCTTTAGTAATTTAGTTAATATTTCTGTATACTTAATATATTTTTAAATGGATAAGGAATACTTTTTGTTTTGGTATGCACTGTACTGTATGCACATATTGCCCTATTTGGACTCCTAGGTCATACTCTACATGTATGAATGTCATTGTTAATTTATCATTATTGCTCAATGTGTTTTAATCAGCTAGTGCTTTGGTGATTATTAGTGGATGTATAATGTTAGTTCACACAAGTGTCCATTTTGCTTTGATATTTTACCTAATGCAATGACATTCATTTTTAATAAGGCACAAGTGTCCAAATACTTTCATATAAGAATAAAAACTATTTTGACTATAAGAAAGGATGGCATAATGACTCTCTCCATTAGTGATCTTCAATCTTTAGTGTTTTTAGCAGAATTTAACAATGACAGATTTAAGCCGACCTCAGCGCAAGCTGTCCCGAGCTGGAGAGAGTTTATACCAGACATTAGACTTGGCGAAAGGAGCTTCATCTGAAGATATTAAGAAAGCCTACAGGTATTCTGGTTTATAGCTTATGTTTATCAAGAAATCACAAATGCAACTCCCCTCTAAAGGCTTTGTTTTATAAATCCCCACCATAAGGAAACTGGCACTGAGGTATCACCCAGACAAGAACCCCAACAACCCAGAAGCAGCGGAGAAGTTCAAAGAGATCAACAATGCCAACACCATCCTCAACGATGACACCAAACGACAGATCTACGACGAATATGGCTCCATGGGCCTCTATGCCGCAGACCAGTTCGGAGAGGAGGGCGTTAAATACTACTTCCTCATGTCCAAGTGCTGGTTTAAGGTGAGTAGTTTGTTTCTTATTTGTTTTTATTTCTACTTTTATATGCAGTGTAAATAATAAAAGTCACGACAGTGAAGTGACCACCATAATAGCATTGCATCTAAAAAATCTGCTGATTTGGGGAAAAAAAAAATGCCTAAGATTATCTGATTTGATGATGTGGAGTTCAAAAATATTAATAAACATTCCAGTTTTTTTGACAAAATAAGATTGAAGATTTTTAAAATTATATATATATATGTATCAGCTTTAATGCACTTACCAAAATAACAAAAACAGCAAATGTCAAAAGCTTTGGTTTTGACAAAAATAAGTATTTAGAATGTATCATTTAACTTACAATCTGCAAAGGAGTGGAAAAATATGTTCAAATACTCCATTTAATGTCAAAATAAGATTTCTCAAAATTCACAAAATCTGTCATTTTCGGTTGCTTTTTGGATGCCGTAAAATATCCGCAGATGCAACAGAAAACATCTGGCTGATGTTTGCATTTTCTTCTGTCACTGGCCATAATTTTAACCTTGAAATCAAGATTAGCCATTAAAAAATGTCTTCAGAATCATTCATACATATTAAAATCAGCTGAGAATTGAAGAAATAGTTGTAATCTGGCTCAGAGGAAGATAGTAACCATGTCTTTGTGCAGTTTTTGCTGCTGATTAAGCAACAATACACGATTCTTCACCTTACAAATGCTTGTTGAAAGCAAAAATGGAATCGGCAGCCCAAAATTAGTCAGAAGCAAGTATTAGATTTCATTCAGCAAACACGATGACGAGCGGTGTAATCACAATTGTTTTCTATTTTTGGGTTCAGGCGCTCCTGGGATTGGGAATGATCTTCACATGTTGCTGCTGCTTTTGCTGCTGTTGTTGCTGTTGCGGTAAATGTGGCGGTTCGGAGAACGAAGACAATTCCCAATATGTGGATCCAGATGAGCTGGAGGCGGAGATGTCAGAGGAGCAGAACAGAGGTGAGGAGCGGGAGCTCTGGAGACTGCAAACACAAGCTTACCAGATTCTGCCTGTAATTGTTAATAAAGAAGAGAGCACTGTAAATCATGCAAATCACTGTATTTTTTGTGATTTACAGGCAATGACACAGTAATAACAGGACAGCCTATTCCCAGTCCTGCACCTGGAAATTCAGGTGAACAACAGATGTGTTTTTGTGTGATAGATAGATAGATAGATAGATAGATAGATAGATCACATTTTAGAGTGGCCTTTTATTGTGGCCAGCCTAAGGCACACCTGTGCAATAATCATGCTGTCTAATCAGCATCTTGATATGCCACACCTGTGAGGTGGATGGATTATCTCAGCAAAGGAGAAGTGCTCACTAACACAGATTTAGACAGATTTGTGAACAATATTTGAGAGAAATAGGCCTTTTGTGTACGTAGAAAACGTCTCAGATCTTTGAGTTCAGATCATGAAAAATGGGGGCAAAAACAAAAGTGTTGCGTTTATAATTTTGGTCAGTGTAGATAGATAGATAGATAATAGTAAGATTTTTTCTAATACTTTTATTCAGCAAGCACACATTAAATTGATCAAAAGTGAAGGTAAAGACATTTGAAAATTCAATTTGCATCACAGGAATAAATTACATTTCAAATTATATTCAAATAGAAAACCGTTATTTTAAATTGTAATATTTTTTCACAATATTACTGTTTTTATCCGTACATTCACTGTATTTTTAAATTAAATAAATGCAGCCTTGGTGAGCATGAACAAATGGTAGTGTATAAAAATAGTGGAATTATCATATAAACAGTCAAATTCATCAATTACGAAACACTCATTGAAGTGACGTCTTGCTAATATTTCTAACTCTTCTTATTTTGTTTCTATTACTTAACTATTACTTTCTTTGTGTTTAACAGGAGACACTGTGATTGTAGGAATGCCTATTCCTAAAAGCTCAGGTGAATATCAGCACCAGTTATTAGCAATAGCACGTTATATTCCGTGTGATGTGATGTACTTTTTGGCAACAAAATGGCATTAAAATTCCGATTCTGAGGGTTATTTTGCTGTGTTGTCGTGCAGATGGAGACACTTCTGTACTGATCTCTCCAGATGTACATGTGGCACATGAATAGAGCAAACAACAACAACCTCTAGACTTGTTGAGGAGACTGTCTCTTCCCTGTTTCTGGCTGTAGAAATGAGGACACTGCTCTAGAAATGTGTTCGAGCGTCAGTGGTTTATATTACACAGTGCCTGTGCGGTTTATGTGGCTCATTTGATCTCCACACATAATGCTATTTTTGTTTACATCATTTTATAATTGCCTTTTGGTTGCTTGAATGTCTCATGATTTTTATTGCAGAGACACTTTATATTGTAATGCTTCAATGATGCGCCATTTAAAGCAGCTGTATGTAGTTTTGTGTATTTTTGCGACTTTGGAGCCCCCAACAGTTGAGTGAGTCGTAAATATAGCTAAAAACGTACATACAGTTGCTTTAAATGACCTCTAGAGTACAATCAAACATATCTTGCACAACAAAGTCAACCTGAAGTAATACCATAAAAATGTTCTGTTTATATAACAACACCAGATTAATTGATTTGCTTGATTTATTTTTCTATTTACCATCTCGTACATTGTGTATACATTAAACCATGCTTTTCCAGTGAAACCTAATACATGCATTTCGTGTGTATTACATCACAGTAATTCTTAAGAACATAACGTTTTTATTGTTAATGCTGTATTTGTACAATGTGAAGTCATTAAGTCTCCAATACATGATAAGGAATAAGTCCAACAGTATTTTCTTATCTGTATATGCACATAAACATTGATCGTTTATCTAACAGACATCTATATGTGGTTTATTTAGCTACCGTTGCAAGCAAACCTTGAAAGAACCTAATTTGGTATGATGTTGATTTTTTGAAGATTCAAGCGAATGCATAAATAATGAACATTATGCAATATGATCATTAAGGCAGGGGTTCAGAGTTTAAAGGACCACTGAAATCATGTCTCACTGGTGATAAAGCAGGTGAATGTTTCGTTTATTGTAATATTGCACGGCCTCAGGGATGGTTTTGTCTGAGATTCTGTTTGTAAAAACGTTTTGTTTATAATTGAAATTATATGATTTCTGCATGATTTCTATGTGGAATTAATGAAAGATTAATAAATATAGTCTATTACTGTATCTACTCAAGCTTTTAATGTGAGTTTCTTTGTCAGTTTATGTGAATCTGTACAGCAGTGAAATTGCTCTATATGCAAGCAAAACAAAATCTGCTTTAAGAATGTTTTGCTAAAGTTCCGCAAACGTTAAAGCTGAATGTTCAAAAGGTTTTTTCTCGGTTATGTGAATGTTAGATAAAAACCTTAAAGGGGATTTACAATTTAGCAGACATTATGGAAATGTTGCTTTTGAAAGTTGTCTAAACCATCTGTAACATGTAGTAACATTTAAAAACACATTAGAAAACGTCCAACTGAAATGATTCAGAAAAACATTCCATGGATAATGTTTAAATAGTGTTTTTGTGCTAACGTTTTGATAGCGCTATTAGAGACCAGATAACTTTGAACAAACATTCTATGAACGTTACTTGAAGAACGTTTGTTCAAAAATGACCTGTTCTGAGAAGGTTCCCTGTTAGCTGTGATGTCACGTGCAAATGTGAGCATCTGTTTTCCAAACCCTCCAGTTTTTTCTTTCTTTATCGCTAGTTTTGCAATGTGACCTTGATGAAATCTAAACATGGTTTCAGTGCACCGACACATTTTTCTGACATGTTATAGCAGCAACGTGTGAAACAGCATATGGCTTTAGTCCAACTGCAAACTTCACATAAGTTTATCTACAAACAGTTTTAAAATTTTTGACTTGCTCTTTTCAAAATCTGTCCTGTAAATAAAAGCACGATTTTTGTTAATTGTCTCCATGATGAATTTGGAGAACAAGCAGGACAAGACCTTGACGGACTCGCTTGAACTTTTGGGGTAAGTCTCTTAAATTCAGTTAACCAATCTGACTTGTTTGAAGTATTTGATCTAGATTTCTTCATTCTGTTTCTTTTAGTCTTTGGATAATTCAGAGGATGAATGCCTCGGCACTCAGTTTGAGTGTAAACGTGACACTCAAGCGTTTCATTGTCACAGCCTGAAAGAAACACGCTTGAAGCAGCAGGGCAAAACATGGGCCAGGAGGAGGTTACTCATCACATGTGCTGTGTGCTTGATCTTCATGATCGGAGAAGTCATTGGTGAGAATAAAAGGACATGCTCTGTTTAAAGGGCCTAGTCTGCTGTATAACCTGCTGATTGCAAAAGTAAATGGGCATGAACTTACTGTTACCTTTAGATGCATTTAAGACTTGTGTGCTGACGTTCTGCTCTTGCAGGTGGTTACGCTGCTCACAGTCCTGCTATAATGACCGATGCTGCACATCTTCTCACTGACTTTGGCAGCATTTCGATCAGTCTCTTCTCATTGTGGATTTCCTCTAGGCCACCGTCCAAACATCCGACCATTGGATGGCATCGATCAGGTGTGTATATATATATAGTTATATGTACGTACAAAGAAATGCTTACCACGGCTGCATTTATTTGATTATGAATACAGAAAGAACAGTAATACTGTGAAATATTATTGCAATTTAAAATAACTCTTTTCTATTTGAATATCTTTTCAAATATAATTTATTCCTGTGGTACAAAGCTGAATTTTCAGCATCATTACTCCAGTCTTCAGTGTCACATGATCCTTCAGAAATCATTCTAATATGCTGATTTGCTGCTCAAGAAACATTTATTATTATCAACAATGTTTTTGCTGCTTGGTATTTTAGTGGAAAACGTGCTACTTTTTTTTTTCAGGATTTTTTTCTGAATAGAAAGTTCTCAAGAACAACATTTATCTGAAATATAAATCTTTCGTAACATTATAAATGTCTTTACTGTCACTTGTGATCAGTTTAATGCAACCTAGTTAAAAAAAGTAATTTTTTTCTTCTACAAATATGAAGCAGCACAACTGTTTTCAACATTGATGATAATCAAGTTCTCAAGAACAACATTTATCTGAAATATAAATCTTTCGTAACATTATAAATGTCTTTACTGTCACTTGTGATCAGTTTAATGCAACCTAGTTAAAAAAAGTAATTTTTTTCTTCTACAAATATGAAGCAGCACAACTGTTTTCAACATTGATGATAATCAGAAATTTTTCATGAGCAGCAAATCAGCATATTAGAATGATTTCTGAAGGATCATGTGACACTGAAGTAATGGGTACTGAAAATTAAAAAATAAATTACATTTTAAAACGGTTATCGCTGTTAAATCGCTGTTATTACTGAATTTTTGATCAAATAATTGTAGCCACTTCTCTCAAAAACACTAAAAATCTTAATGATTCCAAACTTTTGCCACATACAGTACATAACTATTCCATCTGTTCCACAGTGTTTCTGTCATTTGTTTCGTCCAGAGGTTTTAGGGGCTCTTCTGTCTGTTCTGTCCATCTGGACAGTGACGCTGGTTCTTGTCCTCTTTGCTGTTCAGAGGCTCATCAGTGATGATTATGAGATACACAGTGACGTCATGATGATCACAGCTGCATGTGCTGTAGCGCTCAACATCTTGTGAGTGATGCTATTTGATTTCATTAGTAGTGTTTGTTGGAAAATGGCATCTTCTTGTACAGTGTTTTCATGTCTGTTTCCATCAGTTTGGCATTCATTCTCCATCAGTCTCCGGTCCGTCACTCTCACAGTCACGGCCTCACAGAAGAACACAGGAGCACCAGCGTGAGGGCCGCTTTCTTTCACACGCTGGGAGATTTACTGCAGAGTTTAGGTGTGCTGCTGGCTGCCACCATCATCTACTTCAGGGTTTGTACATCATCGTTATTGACATACAAAAGTACTCAGACTTTCACTTGTGTGGACGCTTAGTCACACTTACAAATGTGTGAATGTGATTCATCAGCTCAAGTGTCTCAAATGCTGCAGGATCTTTATACCTCAACATTACTTTTCTTCATCATTTGTGCTCAATGTGTTTGAATCAGCTTGTTTTGGTGATTTTTAGTGGATGGATGAAGTCAGTCCTCCTCAAGTCCACACAGATGTAGATCATCACAGTAAATATCAGCTTGATCCATTAACTAAAAAATGTTCTGTCAAATAAACGGCACTTGTTTTTATATTCCATTATTTAATGCAGAAAACTTCTTTAACCAAAAATATTTACTTGAAGTGCCCTTGAGATTTTACGTTAAAATTTTAAAGGGGTCATATGATGCGATTGCAAGTTTTCCAAGCTGTTCATGAATAGATGTTCATGAAGTTGCAAAGACTAAAGTATCAAACCCAAGAACCTTAAACCACATAAACACATTTCATTACACCAAATACACAAAATAATGTTCTTTTTAGCAACATCATATGACCCCTTTAATAATTTAACAACGCATTCACATGTTCATGGTTCTATGTTGTTGGTTAATAGTTACATGACATGCAGGTAAACATACAAAATATTTAATCTTTTTTTTGAGTTTTATTTTATGATTTTATTTTAAATGATTATATTTTAACTTTACATTTTTATTACTTAATTAATTATTAGCTTTTCATCAGTTTGGAAAACTGTGGAAGCCAATTTCCGTTGACTTTTTATCTCACAATTCTGACTTTTGTGAGACATAAACTCTCAGATGCGAGAACTCGCAATTGCAATATATAAACTTTTATTTCTTGCAATTTTGATTTTCTTCCCCCTCTCAGAATTAATGTAAAAACTGCGAATTGTGATATAAACTCCTTTATTACCTTTATTATTATTATTTACCTTTATTACATTTATTACTTATTAAGTGGTGGAAAAGCTGGCCTTTTTTTTTTTTTTTTAACCACTGCATGTGCAATAAAATATAAAATACATGCATAACTTTTGTTCCTCTGTCCAAACAGCCCGAATGGAAAATAGCAGATCCTATTTGTACTTTTCTGTTTTCGTTGTTTGTGCTCTCTAAAAAAAAAAGTTCTCTAAGTTCTCTTGAATTGAAAAATATGCATTTTCACTCATTCATACAGTACATGTTGCAACAAAATTTTAGTTCAAAATTTTAAGTGGCATTGTTTAAAAAATGCTTTATTGACTGACATTTCATAGGCATTCAGTTGAACAACTGAATCAGTTTTCAAAATATTTCACATTTTATGCCATATGTGTGTATCTATCTGTAGACTATCTTAAAAAAAAAAAAAGAGGGGTTGGTGATATTTTAAATGTGTGGATGTTGCTATTATATACAGTAAGTTACTACACAAGTGGTACAATTTGCTCTAGCCAATGGCTTGTGTATATTGTGTGTGACTTTTTTTTTTTGTATGACATTCCAATTCTATTTTAGAATTAAAATGTATATAAATAGGTTAAGCAAAAGAAATGTGTTTTATGTCCGAGAACCTTTTATACACATACTTAACTTACCGAACACTGAAATGACATTCACTATGTGGTACAATACAAATATTTTGAGTGTCCCTTATTTTCCTATAAAGAACCACGGCTGTCCCTTATTTTCCTTTTCTGAAGTTGGCAACCCTAGTCACAACACACGATTTCCCTCACACATCCATACAACTATAAGACGTGGGTGAAAGTACACTCTGAGATGAATAAATAATAATAATAATCTAAATAATTACACTTGCAACAATTACATTTGCAGAAAGCACATACTTTGTGCTCTTAGCCTAAAATGCAAAATAATAAACCTAACAAGGGATATTAAAGATATATTTCCAAAAGCACAAACAAAATAACATTTGAAAATAATAATATAAAAGTAACTACTGAATAGGCCTACAGTATATTCAGTTTATGAAAATATTACAGTTATTACTATTTATTTTATTTTTGTAGTTATAATTTTGTCATTATATAATACCATTTTGATCTGTTTGCCATTTGCAATTGTATTACTATTTACTAATCATAGTGTTATTTTGGTGAATTGTATTAAAACCAGTTGGGGTCAGTTTCACTGCAAACATCATCATAATTAATAATAAAATACATGGAACCCACAATTACAAAAATGTATTGTTTCTGTTTTATTAATCATACTAGAGAATAAAAAGTCAAATCTCAATGATATGACCACTGAACTAGGAAATTCAGGTTTCTATATCAGAAATCTGGTCAGCTTACTCTGTAGTTTTAACCCAAATGAATGCTTTATTTTCCAGATGAGCAAACCAACCCACAGTCTGTGCTGATGGACATGACCAGACTACTCCAGACAGAATATGGATTCAGCAATATCACCATTCAGACAGAGACGCACACCGATGACGTGGCTTACTGCTTACAGTGCCAGGACCCAATGGACTGACATGTGATTTTAGCTTCTCATTACATGAATCTACACAGGTTGAATGAATATATGAATGCAAACTTTAGAACATATATTACAGTTTTTCTAAGGCACACGTTTTGTCATAAAGCATGACACAATGATAAGATTATGAAGTGTTCAAAAAGTAAGGTTTTATCTAAGAACAGATGCTATTTTTAGACCAGCTGTGACATATGTCAATATATTTATTAAACAATGTGGTCAAAATTTTAAGGAACACTGACGAAAATAAATGTTTCAAACCCAACATACATAATGCACTAAAAAAGTGCATTAATCTTTACACTTTTAAGTCAGATAAGTGAAAATAAACATGACCTCTTAAAAAAAATGGCATTATACATACATTTGTATCTTGATCACAATTTCTGCACAACAAAACAACTTTGCTAAAAAAGCAGCTTTGCAGAGGAGCCCATTAATGTCAAGCTTTGATAAATGTTTTTAATTTGGGGAAGAGGTGCAGGGCATTCTGGGTAGTGAACTCTATGACCTTCTCCAAGGGAACACCTTTGATTTTTGCAATATATTCGGCACTGATGCTGATATTCCTTGGTACATTCCTCACCTAGAGTAAAACCACAGATGTAAATACATTTCAGAAACATTTGATCATTTATGTTTATGTAATCCACCGTTACCTGCTTTTCAGGCCCGAGCGCAGGAGCATCCGTCTCTAAACACATGCTCTCCAGAGGAACCTGCTTCACAAGCTTCTGCTTCTTGTAAAAGGTGGACAAACATGTGATGTGTGACTAATAAATTGTGTTTAATCACATAGAATTTACACAAACAGATATACACCACCAGTTTCAAGTTTGTACACGCTCAAGTGAATGTCTCTCATGAGATTTTCTTAGAAAAGCTTCTTTTTAAATGCTCAAAATTAGTTTGTAGACAATTCTGTAATTTATATATATGTGCACTAATTAACCAAACTAAAATTTGAAATCATAAACCTCATGAATTTGGTTGAGAGAATGTCTGAAGTAGGAGAGTTTTGATTTGATATTATATGTGTGTGTGTATATATATATATATATATATATATATATATAGAACAAAAGTTTAATACAGCTTTATTTTTTCGTGCATTAGTATGAAATAAATTAAACATTGTGCCCCGTCTAATTACATTTTTTTAGAGAAAAATTATGATTGTCATACATTTTTAACAAATTATTCAGGCCTACAGAAGACACCCATGAAAATGTCATTAAGCAAAACAATAGTTCATAGACCAAAACAAATCTTGTTAGACATATTTACAACAAGATAAAAAGAAAACAAATCATCAATCATCATTTGCTTTTGTGTGTGTGTGTGTGTGTGTGTGTGTGTGTGAAATATTATAGTGATATTATAGTTTATTCCTGATTAGTAGTATGTCTATTAGTAGAGCACATACTGTAAACAGACCTTGCAAATACTGGCATGAGAAGTCAAATGTTATTAAACGTAGGTTAGATTTACCTGATCGCTTCTGACAATGGATGGAGGTATTGAGAAAAAATAACCAGCTTTTACACCCTCCATCGCAACCGAAGGTTTTCCGTCAAATGCATGAAGAAGTGCATTCTCTACACCTGAAAACAGATGCCATGATCATGAAAAGCAACCAATTTATGCAACAGTCCTTGTCAATGCATTGTTTTGTTATGCATACCCAACTCCTTCAGAAGATGGATAGTTGGTCGTCCAGCAGATCTTGAGTGTACGTTCCTAATAGACAAAATGCAGTGCTATATGGAAGACCACAACATTATTACCCCAAAAATACAAATCCAGGAGAGCGACATACAGAGGCAGATTCAATTGTTTTGCGATTTCAGCCTGTCGAATGAGCACCTGTCTCTGACCGACTTTCCCAGCATCATTGTTGACTACACGTGGCGTGAAATCCAGGCCAACCTGTACATGATGATACACATTAAAACATCATAACACTAATCATTTGAACTCTCATTCTGACAGCAGAGGATCCATTGGTTAGCAAGTTATGTTATGAACTATTCCTATCTACTACATAAGTCTATTCTCTACCTATAACCCACAAGAACAACTAGTTAGACATACAATATACTGTATGTCTAACCTCGCCAATAGCCACAATGTGCTCTTTGTATTTCTCGATCAGTGGTAATGCTGCATCTAAATCCTGTGGGGTAGAAAAGAAGGAAACAGTGTCAGGTGTAAGACAGTAAATAAAATAATTTGTCTTTATATGCACATATTTCAGACCTCGGGTAAGGCACCCCTGGGTTGTGCTGGATCTTGGACAGGATGAACTCCAAGACATGGCATGACGAATCCTGGGAACCTATAAAACATTAAAGCCGCTTAATATTGAGTTTGCTAAAAAATATGATGTAGTAAGATATCAGATATACCTTTGTGAGAGCTGTATAATTTTCTCAAATTCACCAGCATGCTCTGCTACTGCAAGAAGGGCAACAAGCCCAGCCTGAAAATGAAACAATATTATTGCACTCTTAATATGGTAACATCCTGAAAGAGAATACAGACTAACAGAGCTACCTTTTTAGACTCCTGAATGACATCATCAATGTCCTAAAATATAAAACACAATCATTAAGGAACTCCTCAGAGAGTTTCATAGTATTACTGAATGAACCTTGCACTTGTATCTCTTACGCTGTCAAATTCCTCAGCAGATATATGACAGTGACAGTCGATATATCCTTGCATGGGTTTATATTTTTCAGATCGTTCTAACACGACAGATCAGCAGACATATAAACAGCTTAACCGGATGTGACGGAATCCCACTAGGGGGAAGGTTTATATCATGAATATTAATTAGGTCACCCAGCGTTCCAGCCAATCGTCATTTAGAACTACTCGGCGAACGTCGTCGTGGTACGTAATTAATATTCATAAGCCTTCACGCTGGCTTGTTTCCCGGTTTCAATATGTGGAAGCGTCAGCAGTTTCTGTATTTTAAAGTTTTTTTTGTAATTTGGCAGATGTGCAACCAATCACGTGTTGTGTTTATGTAGATAACAACATCATGTGATTTGAAACAACCCTCTTATGATGACTAAATAAGGGACAGTAGCAGCACAATGTATCAGTGGAGTGTCCCCCTTTATTTACTCTTGATTGGCAGCTCTGTTGGTCAATATGAGCCTACGTGGGAATCCATTGATTCGAGACCTCTACCGGAATGGTTCGATCAAGCCAAATTCGGCATATTCATTCACTGGGGAGTGTTTTCAGTTCCCAGCTATGGCAGTGAATGGTTCTGGTAAGTGCAAAAAAGCATCAGCACGAATACAATGCGACTGACACTAACAAAAAAGCACCAGAAACAACAACACCACGGTGCTGTTTGAAATACCCTCGATTGCGATGTAAATAACCTAGTAAATGATGCATATGTTTATCATTCAGTTATGATATGGTATATTAAAATTGCATCTGATATTTCACTGTACTGTGGTACTGTACTATTTGGTAAGGAGAACAACAAAACATGCAGTGGTGTAATGTAACGAAGTAATAATACTTCGTTACAATACTTAAGTATATTTTGGGAGTAGGCCATTTTTCCACATTCAGTCTTCTTTCTTGTTGAATATCTTGTTTCACTTCGAAATCTGTCATTTTTAGGGTTGTGCATGCTGTTTATTATGACATATATTTGATGTTGGACGTCAGTAACTGATGATGATTGACGATTTCGATAAGGGTGGAACCTGCAGTGGTGTATAAAGTAGGCCTACCTGAAAGCCATACTCAAGTAAAAGTACAGATATCTTACCAGGAAATGACTTTGGTAGAAGTTGAAGTCACCGTTTAGAATATTACTTGAGTAAAAGTCTTAAAGTATGTGATATTTATTGTACTTAAGTACGAAAAGTATTTTATAAATCTTAACCCCTGTCACCGTCAGTTGCAGGACTGTAAATTGTTGTAATTTATGAACACTTTGGAATACAGACATAAGTTTGGTCTCGTTTTAAAGAAGAAAATCAGCAGATTATCGCAAAAGTTGAATTAAAAAACGTAAAAAAATTAAAGTATCAAAAAGTTATGGTAGTTTAAATTTACTGTAAAGAAAATGCACTATATTAATTTTATTTTATATATAATAAATATTTTATATAACAGGTTTTACTCTAAAATTGGTATAAAATTAAAGCCTTATGTCTAAATAAGTTATGTTCCAAATTTGAAGTTGATATGAAAAAAATTAAGGTTCCTGTGAGATTTTATTTAGGGTGTTATACCACAAACAGCCACTGGGTGCCATCCAAACTCTATTAAATTTTTTTTAATGCATTTTTCTGTCACAAATGTCTAGATTTCTTTGTCAATATTACTTCTCATGATTTATGATGATTACTAAAAGATTTGATAGAGAAAAAGGACAACAAAAAAAAGAGTGCCAAGCGTCAATGAAAGACACTACCGGATGAAGTGCTTCTTATTCTTACCCAGCAATGCAAAATGGAAGAAAGAGTTAAAACTGAAGACAATCTTGCTACTCAAGCTGTGTATGAACATGTTATATATATTATTTATTTGCTTCTTTTCCATTTTGCATTTACTTGTACTTTTACTTTAAATACTTAAGTATATTTAAGATTTATAAAATACTTTTAAAGTGACGTGACATGTGGCCAAGTATGGTGACCCATACTCGGAATTAGTGCTCTGCATTTACCCATCCAAAGTGCACACACACAGCAGTGAACACACACACACCGTGAACACACACCCGGAGCCGTGGGCAGCCATTTATACTGCGGCGCCCGGGGAGCAGTTGGGGGTTCGGTGCCTTGCTCAAGGGCACCTCAGTCGTGGTATTGAAGGTGGGAGAGAGCGCTGTATATTCACTCCCCCCACCTACAATCCCTGCCGGTACGAGACTCGAACCCACAACCTTTGGGTTATGAGTCCGACTCTCTAACCATTAGGCCACGACTTCCACAACTTTTTGTACTTAAGTACAATAAATATCACATACTTTAAGACTTTTACTCAAGTAATATTCTAAACGGTGACTTCAACTTCTACCAAAGTCATTTTCTGGTAGGATATCTGTACTTTTACTTGAGTATGGCTTTCAGGTACTTTATACACCACTGAAAACATGAAAATATAATCACCACACACAAAAAAAGTGACTATTTTCATGCAGTTAAACACATTTCCACATGCCTTCTCTAGACATTTTACTTTTGGGTTTTATAGCAAAACACTGTAATACAAAAGTAATCTAACCTTAATTAAAGTAAAATGCCAGTGATGTGTGAAATACATTTTTTCCTCATTACAGTAGTAAGAATTAGATTTTATGCATTACATTGTGCATAACATTCATAAAAATAATGTCAGAATGCAATGCAAAATATCCAAATGGTCCTACAAAGTAAGCTTCATTTTCTTTAATCAAACTATAATTTTCATATTTATTTCAAGATAAAAATAGCCTTGACAGGTACACTTTTATAAAAAGGAGCCGTTTCAGTGGAGGCTGGTCACTTTGTCTATGTTTCTATTTATATATTTGAGGTTAATTGTACTTAATAGTTTTGTTTTCCAACAGGTGGTATTGGCAGGGCCAGAAACTCCCGTCTTATGTGAAGTTTATGGAGCAGAATTACCCACCTGGCTTCACCTACGCAAAATTTGCTCCTCAGTTCCGGGCTGAATTCTTTGATCCTAAAGAGTGGGTTGACATTTTTGCCTCGTCTGGAGCCAAATATATTGTCCTCACAACCAAACATCATGAAGGTTTGCACCAACTGCAGTGTATCTGTCAACTGTAATTAGTTTACATAGTTACACTGTAATAATTGTTGTAAGAAAAATACTGTAAATAAAGTCTACGGAAAAACCATAAGATAATTTACCGTATACAATGAAAATGGTAAAACAGTAAATGGTTTAACATTGCATTCTATGTAATTTTACTCTAAAATACTGCCACATTTTCGTTTTTTGGAAGTAAGCACTATGAATTATGAATTATACAATTTACAATTTATACTTATTGACATTTCAAGGAGTCATCTCAGGACAATCAAATAAATTATATAGAAAATATAGGAGAGAGAAGATGCATAATTTTGTCATGAATGCACAATAATATATATATTTTACTTTTGAACGGCACTCCAGTCTTCAGTGTCACATGATCCTTCAGAATCATTCTAATATGATGATTTTTTTTCCAAAAACAGTTTTTGCTGTTTTTTTTGGAAACTGTGATACTTTTTTCAGGATTATTTGATGAATAAAAAGAACCATTAATGTTCTACGTGATTATTTTAACAACATGATTCAGTGGACTGACTCAATGATATATTCACTGCCAAGTCCTGACTGGACGAGAGGAGGAGCTGGGGATGGAGGTGGGTGATTAGTTCCTGAGCGAAGCGATAGCTGCTGAATAATGACTGAAGGGACCTTATGAAGGGAATTATGATTGGTGTCGTGATCCTATAGGTAGACGTGGATCAGCTGAGAGTCAGCTGATGCGAGCTTGACTAACATGACCTGCCAGAACTAACGCTACGCTTGATTTATTCAAAATAGAAACCTTTTGTAACAATATAATTTTTCACTGTCACTTTTTATCAATTTTACACATCCTTGCTGAATAAAACTTTTGAATGGTAGTGTATATTGTTACAAAAGATTTCTATTTTAAGTAAATGCTGTTGTTTTTGTACTCTTTATTCATCAAAGAATCCTGAAAAAGTATCACAGGTTCCAAAAAAAAAAAAGTTTCCAACATTGATATTTCTGAAGGATCATGTGACAATGAAGACTGGAGTAATGATGCTGAAATTTCAGCATTGCATCACAGGAATAAATTATATTTTACGTTATAGTCACATAAACAACACATATTTTAAATTTGAATAATATTTCACAAATTTCACAATATTACAGTTTTTTTTCTGTATTTTTTATCAAATAAACGCAGACTTGATGAGCATAAGAGACTTCTTTAAAAAGTAATAAAAATCGTTCTGATCCCAAACTTTTGAACGGCAGTGTATATATATAACCCAAACATGCTTTTGTGAGATTCACCCACAAATATGTTTCAAATCCTCAGGGTTTACACTATGGGGCTCGAAGTACTCGTGGATGTGGAACGCAGTGGATGTCGGGCCGAAGCGGGATCTGGTGGATGAGATCGCCACCGCTCTGCGGGCACACAGTGATTTGCGTCTGGGTCTCTACCACTCTTTATTTGAGTGGTTTAACCCTCTGTACAAAGCTGATGCTGACAAGTCCTTCAATACCAGTGTGTTTCCTACCACAAAGACCCTGCCCGAACTGTTCGAGATCGTCAACAAGTACAAACCTGAGGTGCTGTGGTCTGATGGTGACGGAGATGCGCCCGACTCTTACTGGAACAGCACAGGGTTCCTCGCCTGGCTTTATAATGAGAGGTAAGGCCACATAAACGGAAGTGTCGTTCATAGTTACACAGTGAGGTTGAAACCGAGAAGCCAACAGATAGAGAAAAATATCCAATTCAAAGTCTATTTCATTCCTTTAACCCACTGCAATTCTGGTGTAATTGTGACCCTTGTGGTCAATACAGCCCATAGACAATAAGCGTAACATTTTTTGAGAGGATTTCATCGTATTAGATTATATTCACCTCTAAATTATGCAACATTTATTTCTATATAAAATAATACAAATATTAGAAAACAAATTAATTAATATATATATATTTTTTTTTATTAATACTGTGTTTAAGTTAAAAATAGGTAGCAACGTTATTTAAAATCCATTGCATTGAAAGCAGATTGATGGGAATAAAATAAAGAAAATCATGTCATACAATGGTATAACCTCTAGATGCCTGTATTGCCCTATGAAATACATATATGTCATTTTATAATTACTTCAATTAGGTTTTGCATTGTATTTGGATATTTAGACATGATCAAAGACTACGTCATCCTTTCTGATTTGTAGATTGTACCCCAAAAATTGCCATATTTCGCATTAATTTCCCCATTTTATTTTAAAACCATTTTAACAAATTTTTGTATTCATATAGCAAGTTTAATACCACTTTGATGTAAAAAAAAAACATCCTGTTTTAAAATGATCACCAGAGCGTAGCCTCAGAAAAATCAATCACTGATAAAACTTCTACTGTAAAACCATTATGTTTTGTGATTTACATGAACTAAAAGATACTTAATTTAGATTTTATCTTGGATCTTGCTTTGTAAATTTGCTAGATCATAAATATAATCTTAGAGAATGGAAACCGGTTACATACTGGAACTTTCTAAGTGAAGGTGTCTTTGCTGTCATGTAGCCGAACCGATGGCTAATGTGTGTTTTCAGCCCTGTGCGTGACACTGTTGTGACCAATGACCGCTGGGGATGTGGCACTATATGTAAGCATGGCGGATATTACACCTGCTCAGATCGCTACAACCCCGGACACCTGCTGAAACACAAGTGGGAGAACTGCATGACCATTGACAAGAAGTCATGGGGGTACAGGAGAGACACCAACTTCAGCGACTTCCTCACCATTGAGCAGCTGATAGCAGTGAGTTTACTTTTACATTCATTCAGCTGCTTGTGTGCGAGAGTGACTTACACATGAGGAATGCTGCAGCAAGCCAGTGTCTTTCTTGAGCTACAGTACATTTTAATTTTTAATGCCTGGATCCATTTGTAATTGTGATGAACATTGTGATGTATTGAGGAAATTAGTCATAGCTGATGTGGCAATAAACTTAAATTAAACTGAAACTGAAACTTCAAATGGTGTGTGAGTATATTGTGGGTATCATAATATCATTAAGGCTTGGGTGTGCCTCTTTTTCCAGTAAAAAACTACTTAGCAACCACACACAATCCCCTAGCAACTGTATATCAATGTATTAACAACCATTTAGAGCATTGTGGTAGAGAGATTTGCATGGGCATACACTGTTTTATCTGTTATGACAATATAAAAATCTATTTTTATATGATTTTAAATCGAAATAAAAGGTTAGAAAGTGAATTCACATAGTTTAAGAAAATATATTGTCCAGGCATATGCTAATGTTCAAAGCTTTGGGTCTTTTATGTTCACCAAGGCTGCATTTATTTGATCAAAAATACTGTTAAAACAGTAATATTGTGGAAATATTATTAGAATTTAAAATAACTGTTTTATATTTAAATATTTTTTAAAATAGACTTTATTCCTGTGGTACAAAGCTGAATTTTCAGCATCAATACTCCAGTCTTCAGTGTCACATGATCCTTCAGAAATCATTCTAATATGCTGATTTGCTGCTCAAGAAACATATGCTGAAAATAGTTGTGCTGTTTAATATCTGAAACAGTTTCAGGATTCTTTGATGAATGGAAAGTTCAAAAAAATAGAAATCTCTTGTAACATTATAAATGTCTTTCCTCTCACATCGCTGAATAAAAGTATTTCATAAAAATAAATCTTACTGAGCCCAAACCTTTGAACGCTAGTGTATCTATGCAAAATCTGAGCATTGAGAAGTCCCCTGCTTGTCTTCCAGTCTCTTGTTGAGACCGTGTCCTGCGGGGGGAATTTGCTGTTGAACGTGGGTGCCACACACGACGGCCACATCGTGCCCATCTTTGAGGAGCGTCTGCGACAGATGGGCAAGTGGCTCAAGGTCAACGGAGAGGCCATTTACAACAGCAGCGCATGGAGAGTTCAGAACGACACTGTCACTCCTGGAGTTTGGTCAGTTACATTATCATGTACTGTTACATACTGAGCAAAGGTCTGTGTTTCATTTCATGCTTTTATCTTTTTCACCTTTATTTGCTTTTTAATGAAAGTATGGTTTTGTTTTGTCATAACAGGTATACGTGGAATCAGAAGAACGCAATCTATGCTATTTTCCTTTCATGGCCCGCTGATGGCTATATTGTTCTGAGCGACCCAGTTGTATCATCGTCTAAGACGCAGGTAATTTATACTGTAGATATCAAAAAGAATCAAAATGTAACAATTGATTGTTCGCTAAGCGCCTACCTTTAAATGTTAGCAACCAACCCTACCTTAGTCACAGTAATGATTGCTTTTATTCAACAAGGATGCATTAAAATGATCAGAAGTGACAGTAAAGACATTTATAATGTAACAAAATATTTCTATTTCAAACAAATGCCGTTCTTTTGAACTTTCTATGCATGAAATAATCCTGAAAAAAGTGTTTCCACGAAAATCTGAAGCAGCACAACTGTTTTCAACACTGATAATAATCAGAAATATTTCTTGAGCAGCAAATAAGCATATTAGAATGATTTCTGAAGGATCACGTGACACTGAAGACTGGAGTATTGATGCTGAAAATTCAGTTTTGATCACACGAATAAATTATATTTGAACATAAATGACAATAGAACATAGTTATTTTAAATTATAATAATATTTGACAATATAAATGTTTTAAAGCCTTGTTGAGCATAAAAGACTTCTTGCAAAAACATAAAAAAATCTTCCCAACCCCAATTTTTAACGGTAGTATGAGTTTGAGAAGTGTATGTCCCGATTCTGATTGAGTCTCTCAGTTTTTATCAAATGACTGCATTATTTATTTAATTATTCAGAACTGATTAATGCAGAAGTTTCAGTACATTCACATTATTTTCTTGTTTCAAAACTAATTTCCAAATCAGGTGGTGATGCTTGGATATCAGTCCCTCTCGTGGGAGTCCATGAAACCCACTGGTCTAAAGGTTCGTCTGCCCCAGCTGGCCCCCGGTCAGATGCCCTGCTCCTGGGCTTGGACCCTGCGACTGACTGGTGCGGTGTAGCCAGAGGATGGCGCCACAGTTAGCTGTTGCCTTTAGGAATAATGAAGCACATGACTGAAGGGACTATGGGTTTTTTATCCACACATTTTACATTTAAATAACCCCTGTGATTACATGTCCGTCTGGTGTTTTTCATATGCTTAAAGACAAACCATGTGCAAATTCAGCAGTCAACAACATTGCTGAGCATTTTCTCCTTAAATCTTTGGTGTACCAAGACAGTCTCAAAAACCCAGTTTGAAACCACCCCCGTTTTCTAAGTCACAAACATGTAACCAATCCCATCAACCTGTGGGGCGGGGCTGTAAATAGGTTTCTATTTACAGTGTGTTTTTGCAGCGTTGAGCAGTGTAGCCAATCACAGACATATCTGTTGATTTCATGATTGCAATAGCCAATCGGAGTTAATTAAGTTAGACAGAATCCACTCACCATTCAAAACACTGGAGTTTTGTTCAGTACTGAGTTCTGCACGCTCTGAATCCGCTCAATATTACAAAATAGTAGACGCGATGTAATTACAGCGATAGTTCACCTAAAAATTACTCACCCTCATGTCGTTCCAAACCCGTAGCTTCATAAAATTATGGTTGAACCACTGATGTCACATGGACTATTTTAACGATGTCCTTACTGCGTTTCTGGGCCTTGAACGTGGTAGTTCCCTTGCTGTCTATGCAGGGTTAGAAAGCTCTCGGATTTCATCAAGAATATCTTAATTGGTGTTCTGAAGATGAACAAAGGTCTTACGGGTTTGGAACGTCACATGAGGGTGAGTAATTACAGAATTTCCATTTTTGGGTGAACTATCCCTTTAAGAAATTAATTGTGCAATTAGCTCATCACAATTTAGTGAAAAAACGCATTCCATGAATACTAAATGAGGTAAGGGTATAGAGTTCCATTCAAGCCATTTTAGTATGTTAAGAAATTATTTTCATGGGAACAAAAAAACTTTTTAATATGTCATTTTGATTATCAAAGATGAGTTTTAAGGGATGAAATTAGTGACTGCAGGGGGACTTTAAAAAATAAGGTTACAAAAATAATATATATTTAAAATTTACATCTTTATGAACGAATTCTAATGTTTAATTGTTGCGTAGTGTCTCCTGGTATGGGACGCAAACTGGAGAGGTGTGCTGCTACTTTGCTAAATGAACAGAAGTGAACGTTTTTGCCTGGCAGACATTAAAACAACTGAAAAAAACCCTGTTTTTGCAGCACCTATTGTTTGTTTTAATTATTTTTTTATGCTGTTACATTTTGAATTTCTAAAAAAACACTTTTTTTTATCATTAATGATATTTAGAATCGAAAATACACTGGCAAATAAAGCATCTTAAACGTGCTATATTAAAAAACAAATAAATAAAAACTAAGGTCTTAATCTGAAGCCAGCTGTCTTTTGAAAACAACATTTTCATATTATGAGATAAATTAATATTTTGTTTATTTGCACAATTATTTTTTAAAATGAATAAACCGATATATGAAGTTTAGCATCACAGTGTCTGGTTGTAAACCTTTTTTTTTTTTGTATTCCAGAACATCCATAAAAACAGGTGAGCAAAATATTTAAATAATTATATAATATTTTATCGTATAATATTTTATGTTAGTGTCTTAGATAAAGCACTTAGATAAAGATGATTATTTATTATTCATTGAAAAATAATATATTAATATTTTGATTTATATTTTAAGTTATTAAAATATTTAAAGTTTAATATTTTAAATTATATTTTTATTATATTTTTATATTGTCTGTTTTGTTTAAGCTTTAATATTTTTTTGTGCTTTTTTATTCATTAGGGTTTTTTTTTTTTTTACATTAAATCTAATTTTAATGTATTTTTTTATATATTTTATTTCAGCTTTATTTAAATATACAAAAATATTTTAATAGTTTTTGTTAACAGCAGTTAACTATCACAGCATGGGGTCTTACTTATCTAGCTTATGTTCGTTTGAATAAAGCAGTGTGTGGCAGCCTGAGCTACCCATAATGCTCTGCTCATGGCCGTCTTTGGAATCGGAGAGCATCACATGCTGCACACGTGCCACTGCTCCCATATCAGAAACTCCCTATCTGAGTTATTCAGGCCAGCTGTGCCAAGAATAGTCCTGCACTGTTTATGAACATCACAGCCGCTTTGACTCACTCTGCTGGGGGAAAAATTCACAATTAGCAACACAATGTTCCCCTTACATGTGAGATTCCCTTTTTGGCCCGTTTTCCATCTTTCATCATGCTTTCCAAATGCAAGTGTGTGTGTGTGTGTGTGTTTTGGCAGGTGTCTGGAGCGGGGTGAGCCTGCCACTGGGAGGTAAAGTAGGAAGGACCTTTGGGCTTCCAGAGCCAATCTTCCATTACGTGTAGTACAACAGAATGAGGGGGTCTGCGAGGGGATTTCGTCCTGCTTTCAGCATGTGCACTACATGTGCTGCACTCTCAGAAAAAAAAGATACAAAGCTGTCACTGGGCCGGAACTCTAAGGTACAAAATCTAAAAGGTACATCTTTGTATCTTATTACTCCTAAATGGAACATATTAGTACCTTAAAGATGTAAGGGTATCGTGAAAAGCGCTGTACAAATAAACTCGACTTGACTTGACTTAAAGATGCATATTAATACTTTAAAAGTACATATTAGTCACTTTTGAAAGGGTCCCACCCCAGTGACAGTTTTTCTGTTTATAACACGATTAGATGCAGTGCCATTATTAGATGTACAGAAAAGTCAATCTGGTTGCTTAACAAATCATATAATGTGTCATAACAGGGGATGCATTATGCATTATTTTTAAAGTTCAGCCTTACATAAAAAATGTTAGTCTTTAGTTACTGACCCTCAATGCTCCTTAAATTGTTTAATTCGATTGGAAACTAAAAAGTTAACTAAAACATAAAAAAACATGTTTGTTAGTTGAAATAAAATAAATGTTAAAGGGGTGGTTCACTGTTTTTTTCTAGGCTTGATTGTGTTTATGGGGTTCAGTCTAACATGTGTTAATGCTTCGTTTTTAAAAAAACACATTATTTTTCACATAATTGACTTTTATTCCACACCGCTCTCTGTCCCTTCTCTGAGAAACACACTGATCATTTCCTTCTTTTATGAAGCCCCTCCCTCAGAAATAGACGATGGGCTCTGATTGGTTAGCTAGCCCAGTGTGTTGTGATTGGCAAAACCGCCTCTAGTGCGCGTCTAAACGTCCAGCCCCTCACCTCAGCTGCATGTGCTCCGGGTGTATTGTAAACAATGGCGTCGATAAAGGGGTCATATGATGCGATTTCAATTTTTCCTTTCTCTTTGGAATGTTACAAGCTGTTCGTGAATAGATAAGATCCCTAAAGTTGCAAAGACTAAAGTCTCAAACCCAAAGAGATATTCTTTATAAAAGTTTAAACACGCCCCCACATGTCTACATCACTGTGTGGGAAGATTTGCATAACACGTCCAAATGTTCACGCAAAGAAAGAAGGCGTAACTTTCATTCTCGCTGTAGTATTGTTGCTGCCTCTGCCGCCATGTCGTGGAGACGCTGTGTGTTTTGTTCTGAAAGCGAAACTACTTTGTTTGGTCTTCCTATAGAGGGCACAACTAGAAATCAGTGGTTAAGTTGTATTTACAACACTGTTCCAGAACAGTTCAAACCAAATATTCGTGTGTGTGCAACGCATTTAACAGAGGACTGTTTCCTGAACCTACAATGCCGGCTGTTGTGACTCACAACCTGTAAGTATGCTTTCATATTTAAAGAATTTGCCACTGACGATAGAAAGACAGTATAAGTCATTATAATCAGTAATTATGTCCCCACTGGATGCAACAAATGTCTCTTTTGTAATGGGTTTTATTGGTTTTGTCTCGTCGCGCCGGGACACGGCATCACAGTATGGTAAGGGGTAGGGCTGGGCGATAATTTGATAACGATAATTTCCACGATATAATTTTACTCGAGAAAACTGAGGAGTTCGACAAATGTTCCATATAAGTTTATGCACCAAAAGCGGAATGAAACAGTGCGACTCATTTGAATCGCGCCACACGGACCGTTTATCCGCTGGGATCAAAGTTCAAACTGCCACGCGGCGCGAGCTCACTAGAGCAGATGCGTTTACGTTACTCGGTCACACGAGCATTAAACGGGTCATATGATGTTGCTAAAAATAACATTATTTTGTGTATTTGGTGTAATGATTCACCAAATGATTACTAATGAAATGTGTTTTTGCGGTTTAAGGTTCAAAAAACACATTATTTTCCACATACTGTACATTATTGTTTCTCCTCTATGTTGTTGCTTGATTAACATCAATGACTCGGACAATAGCAACTAAATTAGGCTGCTGTCCCTTTAAAACCGAATGCACAGCTGCAATGGATGCAGTGTACTGATACACGTTATCCCTACTGTTTACATTCAGTTAATACGTAATGAACTGTGTTTACGTGAATACTCTCGAAACGGACAATTCGACATCATTTTGTGTGTAATGATGTTCGCTCTGTTCATGCGACTCATGCGCTGTGAGATGCGCTTTCTGTGTGTGTGTGCTTCAGTGTCTGCGTTCAGAAAACCCGACCGAATTGAGTTCTCTCTTGCGTCGTCAGATTTATCCATATGTCTGCTCTTCTCTTACTCCCACATATTGACATTTTTTAACGTTTTATGCGATGTGCAGCAAGTGTATGTTAGCTTATGTCCCGCCGGTTCATATGTACACATCTAACCTCCGAACCATGCAGCAGATTCGTTCTGAATTAATCTCTTCCCAAATCGTCCCTCCCTAACATTTTCGTCTCGTTTTTATTAGTTGACGAAAATGTCAATAGATTTACGTCATAGTTTTTGTAATTCAGAAAGGGTTTTAGTTCGTTATCGTCTCGTTGTCGTCGGTGAAAGAAAGGTCTTTGACGAAAATTATGACGAAACAAAATTAAAGGGTTAGTTCACCCAAAAATGTATTTCTGTCTTTAATTACTCACCCTCATGTCGTTTCAAACCC